ATGCAGCCTTCCTGCTGGGACTGGTCTATGCAGAACGTCCCTGGTGCCAGGAGCATGGCCACTGCTCCCCGGCGGCGGTGCGGGGTTGGAGCCCCGGACGCGGAACAGAGGCCTCGGCGAAACTCACATTACCAGGTGCTCGGCGACCCAGGGGCTGACCACCACTCCGATGCCTCTTGACAGACAAGGACACTGAGGCTCAGAGCGGGCGGTAACGTGTCCAAGATTGCATGGGCAGAGGCCTGGGACCGGGGTCTCGTCTGCCTGACTGCAGGAGTCCGTGCTCTGGGTCACGGAACAACAGTCTTCCCTCGCGTGCTGTGTGACTCGATGTGGGCCATTTGGCCTCTCTGAACTCCTTTCCCTCGTGGGGCCAAGAAAGTGTCCTAGTCTGCTAGGGCTGCTGTAACAAATCCCACAGACGGAGCTGCTTAAACACCGATGTTTATTCTCTCAGGGTTCTGGAGGCTGCCGAGGCCGGGGTGCCGACGTGGCGGGCTTCTGGTCGGGGCTCAGTGACTGCCTCCGTCACCCTGCTCCGTGAGGCCTCCGGTTTCCCTCAGCGCCCCAGGCCGCGTCGCACGCTTCTCCAAGGGCGGGAGCTGACCCCGGGCCCTGCTGGGGACAGGGGCACTTGGTGTTAACATTTGGCTGTGCGATGCAGAGATCGGCCGAAAGCCACCTGCTCTCACGTCATCCTCAGGTTATAACTTATTCACGACAGCAGGATGTGTGCTGGACCCTTCGGGCATCCCTCCGCTGACGAAATGGCCCGGTAATTAATCGTTCTGTGGGGGCGGGGAAGGCATTTTACCAGCTATGCTTCTGAGGGTCGGTGTCTCGGTCCCGCGCTCTCCTCTGGCTGGGTGCTCGGGCCGCAGGAGCTGTCTGGGCGGCAGAAGAGGGGGCAGGGCTCGTTTTGAGTTTCTCTCTGCTGGGGCCTCAGGAAGAAGAGCTCCCCCCCACCTTTCTAGGTGAGGTCTTCCTGGCGGACAGCAGACCCTTCGTTCATGTGATGGGTCCACACTCACAGCCAGTGTGTGAGCTAATGTGTCGCCCAGACTCCTCTGGAGTGTTCGGGCTTTGGAGTGGGAAGGCACATGGCTTTATTCTCCGGGCTCTGGCAACCCTGCCCATCTCATGGGAATTCAGGGGGGCGTCCCGTGTGTTGGAAATAATCCTCCCAGCTGGTCAGTGCAGGTGCGAGTCCCTGGGTGTCTCTGGGCCTCTGTCTTCCCATCTGGAGAGAGGGTTCGCTTGGACGGTCTGCACCGCGGCCTCCTGCTTGGGCCGCTGTCTTCGTCAGAGCGGCGTATGGAGCTTGTGTTTACTCACTTGGTCTGAGCGTCCCCGTGAGGACGGGGTACAGAATGTCCCAGCCGACCGCTGCTGACCGCTGAGTGAAAACAACAGAAGGACCTCAAGTTTTAGGGAGACATGAAAATTAGAAAGGCATAAACACTGAGGTCCTCCTGACATTTATTCTGCGGTTCTGCCCAACTTCTCCAGCACTCGTGACCCATTCCAGACCCCAGGAAGGGGGCATCCTCCAGAGTTAGGGAACAGAGGGCTTAGCCGTTTGGAAGAAGGCTGAGGGAGGGAGGAGGCTCCGGAGTGGGGACGCAGGCCTTGGTCCAGCACTGAGAGCGGGGCACGCATCCGGGGAACATTGATTTTCTGCAGAGTGCTCTCTGCAAGCAGCTGAGCAGAAACACCTGGAGTCAGCTCTGGGACTCTGACCTTATCAGTGAGCGCGAGCGTCGGGACAAGGGAGGGGACTCGGTCGGCCAGGCTGCCACGGCAGAGCACCACGCCCTGGACCGCTGCAACGGCAGACGTCTATTTCTCACGGTGTCGGGGCTGCAAGTCCGAGATCCGGGTGCTGGCCTGGCCGGGCTCTGCCGAGGAGCTTGTCCTGGACTGCAGACGGCTGTCTGCTCTCGTGCTGGAGACAGCGAGCTCTGGGGTCTCTCCCTACTGCAGGGGCACCAGTCCCAAGCTGGGGCCCCCTCGTGGCCTCATCGCACCCTGCTCACCTGCCAAGCCCGCCTGCAGCCCCCATCACCGGGGGTCAGGGCTTCAGCACTGGGGGGGGACACACTTCAGTCCCTGCGGCCGGTGACGGTGGGCAGGCCATGCAGGGCCACTCAGCCTGGGTGGGGGGTCAGTCCTCGGAGGAGCAGACAGCATGGGCTTTGCCCAGAGGATGAGGCAGCCGGGGTGGGCAAGCTGGAGGGAAAATTCCAGAGAGAACAGTGCTTGAATGTCAGGAGGGTCGCGTCGTGGGGCCGGGGTAAACAGCTCTGCGTCTCTCCGGCACGCCGAATCAGAGCCACTGGGTGCACGGGGCAGAGCCACGTTCTAATCCCTGGGTCTGTCTCAAGGCGGCTGTGTGGAAGGGTCCCAGAGGCGTTCCAGACGGTGGCTTGGAGACAGCGGATGGGCTGGGTGGCGGCCGACCCCACTGGCCGCGGGCACCGAGCACCTGCTCCTCCTTCAGCGTGAAGTAACAGCCCTTCATCACCCTCAGAGTGGCCGGTAGCGTGTCCTCTGCTACGGGGAGTTTTTGGCATGTTTCCCTACAGGCCAACACTTAGTGGTGACGGCGGCGCCGTCTGGGGCAGGGCTACCGGGGGTGAGTGTGTGACGGGCTGCGCGCTGGGCTCGGGGGTTGATTGAAGCGGTTCTTGTCGGCTGTCCTGCTGGCTCACCAGGAGGGTTAAGGAGGCTGAGCCTGTTCTGGGACCTGCTGGCAGGAAGGACGGGCAGGAGCCTTGAGCAGGTTCGCAGTGACTCAGGGTCCTCTGGCCGCGGAGCGGGGCAGGGCTGGGTCCTGCTGGCGAGGATGGAGACGGGGGGCGCAGATACCCAGTTCGCAGCGCTGCCCCCATGGACCCCTGGACCCACGCCGGTGCGGTCGGGGCTTTGCAGGGGCTGCCTCCCACTCGGGGCGCCACCTCCACACCCCGCCGTTCCTTGCCCGCTGCCGCTGACTCTGCCCCTCTGGGACCGCCCCCCCCACCAGGTCCCCATGACCATAGCCAGAGGTCTGTGCCTGTCCTCATCCCGAGGCTTCTCTGCAGTGTTTAGCCGCTGACCCCGCTCCAGCCAGGGCCTCCCGCTGTCCCTGTCCCACCTGTCTCACAGCACAGCTCTGACCCCGCGGGCGCCCCCTCCTCCAACGCCCCGCGGGGTCCCCGGAGCCTGCCCCTCCTGTGGGGCAACATCATCGGTTACCACTCACCTGCTGGTCTGGGGCCCCTTGCAGACCCAGCCCTGCGGGACACGGGAACAGCCACTTCCTGCTCCTGTCCCCCGCCCCGCGTGCCCAGGCTCTCCCCGCCACCTCCCGTTCCCAGCCCGACTCCCCTCCAGTGCACTTGCCTCCAGCTCTCGTCTGTTCCCTGGCCGGGTGTCCTTGCCCCCTTCCAGCCCCTCTGCGTGTCACCGATGCGCGTCAAGCATGAATCCTGTCTTGTCACTCTCTTCTAACTCCCCCCCGGAGGTTTGTGTGCCCCCCTGGATGCCCTCCTCCACCCCCCACTGGCCAGGGCTTCCTCACAGCGCCTCTCCTGTTACAACACACCTGTCACAGGTGTCTGATCGCTCCCCATCCCCCACACCGGTCTAAGTCCTGCCGCCCTATGTCCCCGGCACACGGCCAGCTCGCCGCTGTCACGGCTGGGCCAGCCTGGCCTCGGCCTCCCCGGGGCCTGCTACCTGGCACTGGGAAAGGGGCGCTGGGCCTCAGATCAGCAGGTCACAGCTCTGTCCTGGTCCTGCCATACGCCGGCACTTGACCTGGACAAGCGGCTCAGGCCCTCGGGGTCTTGTCTGTGCAGGGAACCACTTCTGTAGCCCAGTAAGAGAGTGGACGTGAGGGTGCTTTGTGAATCAGTTTGTGGGACTGTGTTGCGGTGCTGTGTGTCCCTGTCAGCCCGAGCTCGTCCCGAAGCCTGTCTTCTGTCCTCTGACCTCTATCCTTAACTTCTTAGGGAATGTCGCAAAGCTGACAGTTCCCGGCTGGGAAGTCCTCCGGTTCAAGGTGTGAGTCGGTGTCAGAGCAGGACAAAGCCTTATCCATATGCAACGCGCTGTCCTTCCTGTCATCTCTCTCCTGCAGCGTTGCTCGGCTGAATTTCATTTAGTTTCAGATTATTAAATTAAGTCTGATTACATGTTTCTTTTACCAAGCGTTCTCTGTGCATTAGTCTGACGCTTGCTGGCTCGGTCTGCAGTCTGCGGCGAGCACAGGAGGGATGCCAGGCGTGTGAGTGCACTCTGGGGGAGAACAGCCCCTCCGCCGGCGGGATCTGGGCCGGGTGCGGACCGCCGTGCTGGGTCCTAGTGCATTGGTCAGCGGGGACGGTCCTGTGGGTCACGCGTGAGCACAGTCACCGGGCCGGCCTGTGGCGACGGGCAGCATGGAGGCGAGGGGGCAGCCTGGGGTGGCGATGCTCCAAGTCGCGCCGGAGGGACCGACAGGTGGTGTGTCACCAGGCCCTGCTGGAGGACTAGTCTCCCTAGGAAGCGTGTGACGAAGCATTCCCTGGACCCTCCTCTCCCTCCTCCTCCCTCCGCTCCCCTCAGCTTCCCAGAGAGGAGCAACGCTCTGCCACCGCGCCCACCTCCCCCGGCGGGCATCCCAGCTCCCGAGAGCAGCCCGCTCACTTGCTCTGGGACGGGGATGGAGGACAGCCCCTCTCTACCCATGTAACTGCAGAGCAGGAGGGGCCGGGCTGAGGGCGGGGTAGGGGACGCACCCTTGGTCTCCTCCGTTCCCAGGGCATGCGGCTTTTGGGGGAGGTGTGTCCTCCCCTGGGAAATCTGTCAACAAGGGACCTTGCAGAGCCTTCTGGGGTCACTCACAGTAAGCTGAGCGTTACACCTTTCCCGTCTGCTCCGGTGCGTGTGCGAGCGTGTGCGAGCGTGTGATGTTAAACGGGAAGCATACTGAATCACCTGTGCACCAACCAACTTTGATCTTGTTGTTTTTTCAGGAGACATGGGTGACAAAGGACAGAAGGGCAGTGTGGGTCGCCATGGAAAAATTGGTCCCATTGGTTCTAAAGGTATTTGCGACGTACTTCTTTTATTTATTTATTTTTTAAAGATTTTATTTATTTATTTGAGAGAGAGAGAATGAGAGACAGAGAGCATGAGAGGGAGGAGGGTCAGAGGGAGAAGCAGACTCCCCGCCGAGCAGGGAGCCCGATGCGGGACTCGATCCCGGGACTCCAGGATCATGACCCGAGCCGAAGGCAGTCGCTTAACCAACTGAGCCACCCAGGCGCCCGCGACGTACTTCTTGCCCCATTCCCTCCCAGGCTCCCGGCACGGGCGCTCCAGAATGCTTGCAGGCCGGCCAGTCCTGCCTGGTAGGTGTGCCTCTTTCCGTGCGCTTGACACATGGTAAAAGCGGTCCAGGCTCTGCATTTGGGATCAGTCAGAGTTACCTGCTGGCTGTGTGCCCACCAGGGTGGGGCGAGCGCTCCCCGTCCTGAAGGATTCACAGGGCACCCCGGCAGAGAACTGGGGGCTGGTTACTTAGGCAAGACCTTTCACTGCCACTTCCATAACCAGCTTCATGAAACACCGAGCCCCATTGGAGTAACGGGAGGACCGTTCTCCAGAAACACTGTCTGTCCCCCTCCCGCTTCGGTGACTTTTTGAAACTGTGGGTGGCTCTCCATGAGAACGGGACCCAGGAAGGTAACAGCCCAGGTGAGAGCAGCCCTCTAGTGGCAAGACGCCTGCCCTTGCCTGGGTCCGTCTCGCAGCTCATCTGACCGCGCAACCCTGCAGGGGTGGGCGGGCCACAGACTAAGGCCCAGCAGATGAGGCTGGACGGCTCCGAGCCACCCAGCCAGCAAACGCTCTTGGAGTCCCTGGTGTGTCCTGCCCCTGTGCTGAGACCCTGGGCCCTGAGCTTTCAATGAGCGATCCCGTGGAGGTCTCCGCCTCCACCCCTTGGTGCCAATGAGGAGGCCAGGCTGGGGAGGGCCGGTGGTTGGCAACACTGCCAAGCCTGTGTGGCAGGGAGGGGGCTCGGGGTGGCGGTCTGCCCAAGGCTGGCGCTGGAGTTCTTCTGCCTCAGTAACCTGCCGGCAGGTTTGAGCCATGAGTGGGTTCGGGTGGTTTGTTCTGATGGGTGGCCACGCACCTCCCCCTGGCCGCAGCTCGTCCCTGGCAGGAAGGGGTCTTCGGCAGGAGTGTGACGGACGCTGGCCAGCCCAGCGCCTCTCCTGGCAAACCCGTGGGAAGCACTGCTGGGATGGCCCTCGCTCGAGAGCACGTACATATGCGTGGTACAAAGAGGGGCAGCCGTGCTCCACAAAGGCTTTGCGAAAGTGTGGGAAAATAGTCATAACACGAAGCTTGCCGTTTTAACTATTTTCAAGTGTACAAGTTAGTGGCATTAAGTACATTGGCAGCGTTGAGCAGCCAACTCATTTCCAGACCATTTTCATTCCCCTGAGAGGACCTCTGTCCTGGTCCCTCCCTCAGCCATGGTCACCCCTCATCTAATTCCCGTCTCCACGAAGCGGCGTATTCTAGGTCGTTCACGGATGTCTGACTTATTTCACTTAGCGGCATGTGTTCCAGGAGGCTCATCTCCTGCCTTCTTAAGGCTGAATCGTGGCTCCACCGCATTTTATTGATTCACGCATCCGTCGGGAGAGATTTGGGCTGTTGCCCCCTTTAGCTGTTGTGGAGAGTGCAATGCATGTTGGCCTCCGGTAGGGACGTGTGGGCCTCTCATGTGCTCTGGGCGAGTGTCGGCGGATCGCCGAGTGCCAGCGTGCCAGCAAGCCCCTCATTTGGCTTACTTTGCCTGACCTGCTTCCGGGGACCCGGTCAGGCTGACCTTCCAGTCAGTTCCAAGCCCCGAGGCCCATGAGGGAGTCACAGGGATGGTGTGGACGGACCGGCAGGCTCTCTCCCTCCCCGCGTGGATGGCAGGCAGTGGAATCCAGAGGGAGGAGCGCTACTCCTTCCCCGTCCCACGCCGGCTGGGATGCTCAGGTTGACTCGCGGGGAGAAAGATCGCACTGCAGGAATATTCATGTGCCTTTAATAGATTTGTTGTCTAAATTTAGAGCAGCCAGAAAGCATTGTTGGCACGACTGTGTCCACCGCCTTTGGTTTACCAGCTGGGAGGCCGGTGTGGCAGGGCGGCTGCATGGCGTGTCCTGTCTACGGGGGGCCGCGTCTCAGGCCAGGCGGGAGCCCAGGTGTTGCACTGGGGGGAGGCTGCCCCCAGCTCCACCCCAGTGCCAGCATCACCGTTTCCCGGCCATCAGGAGGGCAAGAACTGGAGTCAGATTTAGCTGTTACTGACCCGGGGGTTAAGGGTTCATGACAGAATATCTACAGACTGTTCTATGACACATCCAGGATTTTTCAGACCCGACTTAAAGAAGGGTCGTCGGGTCATCTCTCAGATCTCGTGATAGGAGTCTATTCCACATCACATCGATAGAGCCTGAAAAATTAATTACCTGTAGAACACAAGTCCCTGTATTCACAGCAAAGAGGGGGTCTGCAGGAAACTCTAGGACATTACACAGGGAAGAAATAACATTGTGAACCTTGGCAATTTTAACCTCTCGTGACGTGTCCCATCTCTGCTTGACCTTGCTTTGACCATCTTCCTCTCCCTTTCCAGGTGAAAAAGGAGATTCTGGTGACATAGGACCCCCTGGCCCTAATGGAGAACCAGGTATGGCATAGAGGGTGCAAGGGCTTTTAAAACACGTGATAAAAATTGCACTTTGCCCTGGTTTTACTGAGAGATAATTGACATACATTACTGGAAAGGTTTAAGCTGTACAGCACAATGGTTTGATTTACAGATACCATGGAATGATCACCACCATAGGTTCAGCTAACACCCATCTTCTCCTATAGACACAACAAAAAGAAAAGAAAGAAGAGAAAAGGAAAAAAAATTATCCTTGCAATGAGAACTCCAAGGACTTGCTCTCTTACCAGCTTCTCTGTGTGTCCTGCAGAGGGTTAGCTGTGGTCCTCACGTTGTGCATCACATCCCTGGTGGGCATTTACCTCTGCACCTGCTGACCCCCTTCGTCCCACTCCCTTCCCCCGCTACACATGGAAGTGAGATCGTGTGGAGTTTGTCCTTCTCTGCCTGCCTCGCTTCACCTAGCAATAATGCCTTCAGGGTCCATCCATGTTCACACAAATGACAGGGTTTCCTGGGGCTCCTGGGTGGCTCAGTGCATTAAGCGTCTGCCTTCGGCTCAGGTCATGATCTCAGGGTCCTGGGATTGAGCCTTGCGTCGGGCTCTTTGATCAGTGGGGAGCCTGCTTCTCCCTCTGCCTGCCGCTCCCCCCGCTTGTGCTCTCTCTCTCTCATTCTCTTGTGCTCTCACTCTCAAATGAATAAATAAAATCTTAAAACAAATGACAGGGTTTCCTAATTGTTCACAGCTGAATAGCACTCCATTGTGTACATGTCACAACTCCTCAATCCATTCCTCCGTGGATGGACACGTAGGTTGTTGGCTGGTTTTTGTTCCTCTCTGTAACAGTCTTGAAGTGCTTGCATTTCTTACGAAGCTTTTAACACAGAAGAGCCAAGCGGGAAGCATCACACTCTGTGATTTCAAGTTATACCATAAATCGACAGGACTTGAACCGTGCACATTGGCATAAAGACAGTCCCACGGACCATGGGGGCAGAACCAAGAGCCCGGAAATAAACCCAGGCACATACGGTCAACTAACATTTAATAAGGGAGCCAAGAACCCTCAATGGAGAAAAGACAACCTCTTCAATAAATGGCCCTGGGAAAACAGGACAGTCACACGGAAAAGAATGAAACTGGACCCCCATCTTACACTGCTCACAAAAATTAACTAGAAATGGACTAAAGACTTAAATGTAGGACCTGAGACCCACGAAACTCCTATAAGAAAACAGGAATGAAGCTCCCTGATGTGGGTCTTGGTCATGCGTTTTTGGATATGACACCTAAAGCACAAGCAATAAAAAGAAAAGTAAGCAGGTGGGACCACATCAAACTAAAAGAGCTTCTGCACAGCAGAGGAAACCACCAACAGAGTGAAAAAATACTGGCAAACCATACATTTGATAAGGGATGGATCCAAAACCTGTAAGGAGCTCATACAACTCAATAGCAAAACGAACAACCTAATTTAAAAAATGGGCAAAGTACCTGAATAGACATTTTTCTAAGGAAGACATATGAAAGGTCAACAGATACACAAAAGGACACTCAACATCTCTAGTCATCAGGGAAATGCAAATCAAAACCACAATGAGATGTCACCTCATACCTGTCAGAATGGCTGTTACCAAAAGACAAGAGCTAACAGATGTTGGCGGGGATGCGGAGAAAGGGGACCCTCGTGCACTGTTGGTGGGAATGCAAGCTGGTGCGGCCACTCTGGAAAACAGTATGGAGGGTCCTCAGAAAGTTAAAAATAGAACTAGCATGTGACCCAGCGATCCCACTTCTGGGAATATATCCAAAGGAAACGAACACTAACTCAAAGAGATACCTGCACCCCCGTGTTCACAGCAGCACTATTTAGAATAATCAAGACATGGGGAAAATTGCACTTGAGAAAAAACTGTAAATCATGAAATAAAACTGCAGTGGTCTGAAAACAGAGTATGTATGACTGGCATCCTCTTTCCTTGTCTGTCACATCCTCTGGTAGACGATTTCAATATTCCATTTCCTTCTACCTGAGTATTTTCACGTCCTTCTTGGGACTGTAGTGCTCGCCGACTTTAAGGATTGGCTCAGATATACGTGTCCCCAAGCATGCATTCCTCATTTCTAAGTACTTCCCCCTTCCTCTGACCACCAAACTTCTCGGAAAGCACGTCTGTACTTTCTTGTTCCGGAGCTCCTTGTAGCTGGCTCCCTGCAGCCTGACGCCCGGGAAGGTCACCCGGGACCCAGCCGCTCAGTGAACGTGGCCAGCTTCCTGGTGCTGGTGACAGTGACCTCTCGGCCCACTGTCCCACGGCCGCGGCCCCCTCTTCGTGGAGCTCGTCTGCTGCCTTTCATCCTCCGCGAGGCTCCCCCAGCTGCATGTCCGCCGCGGCCCCCGTAGTCCAGCCCCACCTGTCCCCTTGCCTGGCGCATGTCCACCATGTCCTGCTGCCCACGTTGGTCCAACCACCTCTTGGCTCACGTGGCGTTTCCCACGCGGGTTTTGTCCTCTGTCCCACGCTACCCACATTGTCCCACACTGTTCCACGCTGTCCCTGCTGTCCTTCATGGTCCCATGCGTCTGCACAGCTGTCCTGTGTCCTGTCCCTGCACCAGCACCTCGTTCAGGCTCTCGTGACCTCTCGTGAGCTTGCCGTCAGGCCCTGGGGGCGCAGGTGGGGGGTCCTGGAGCCGAACCGGCTTCCCAGTGGTTGGGTCCTGACGGTCCCTTCCAGACCGCCGTGTGTGTGGGCACGTTCCGGCATCCACTATGCTGAATCAGCCTGTCTTTCTCTGTCTCACACATGCTGTGTCTCCATTTGCTGGCATTCATCCTGAGTGTGACATTCAGAGAGAAGCCCTCGAGAGAGCTCGGAGCTTGGAAACTGGGGAAGAAAGAGATGTCTGAGTCAAAAGCCCTTGGCTGAAGGGCTCTGTCAGTACTGTGGAGAGGAGGAGGAACGTGGTCACGGGACAGATGGCAGCGCCTCCCGCCGCCACCTTGGACACGGCCGGTCCTGCAGGGAGGAGGACCTGGTGGTGTGTGGGGCCGGCCCGGAGGCCAGGGGACAGTTTGAAAGGACACGGAGGAACAAGCCCACCACTTGTCACTGCAGAGAGCAATCCAGAAAGCCTGGACAGCCTCAGGGGGCGTGGACGCGACACTGGTCTCAGATGAACTCCACTGCAGAACCACCCCCTGGCCCCAAGCGTCGCTGGGGCCGCCGAGTGTGGACCGGATCTGCGCGTGGAAGTGAGGGCGTTCTGGACTCTGGGTGGTGGAGGAGGGCTCAGATTCTGGAAGATGGGCCCAGTCTTCTGTGGGGGAGGTTCAGTCTGGAAGTGCGGCTGGAGCTCAGCACCGACCGTGGGGTTTTGCAGGGGGAGAGGCAGGTCCTGCACGCGGGCTCTCGGTAGGGTCTGTGCAGGGCAGATGTGCTCTGGTCCTGGGGGAGGTGATGGGTTGGCAGTGGCCGGGTCCCCCTGCTGCAGTGGGGACCGGGGGGGGTGTGTTGACAAGTGGAGCTCCCCACGGGAGGCAGCTCGGGGGTCCCGAAAGGCCCAGGACCCCTGACCTGGGGTGACATGGCTGGCAGAGCTGTGAGAGGGACCCTCATGCTGCGGGGCCCCCACTGTCCCCAGATGTTCTGGCTTCTCTGCGTCCGCACGTCACTGTCCCGAGCCCCGTCGTCCTCTGAGATGCTGCCACGACTCCGCCCTCCACCCCGTCTCCCCTGCACCTCCCCTCTTCCTTCCCACCCACGCAGAGCCCTATGTGAAAACAGGTCGGTCCTGGGGCCGCCCTGTTGACGTCCCTCCGCTGCTTCTCCTTGCCTTCGGGATGAAGCCCGGAATCCGCGTCCCAGCCTTGAAGGCCCACGGGGTCCGCTTGCCGGCTCAGCTTTCTGTCTGGGTGGGGGCTGCTCTCCGGAGTGCCGCCCCCGGTGGCGTCTTCTAACGCGGGGGCCGGTCTCCACAGGCATCCCGTGTGAGTGCAGCCAGCTGAGGAAGGCCATCGGCGAGATGGACAACCAGGTCACCCAGCTGACGACGGAGCTAAAATTCATCAAGAATGGTACGTTCTCAGGGTTTCCCTGTCCCCCCCCGACCCCCGAGGCAGAGGGGCTCGGCCGGCGTGTGGCGCCCGCGGTCCGGGCCTCGCGTGGGTGCTGCGCACCGAGCATGATTACGGAAACGCGAGTGCTCACTTTCCAGCACTGCCCCCCCCCGCAGCTGTCGCCGGCGTGCGCGAGACGGACAGTAAGATCTACCTGCTCGTGAAGGAGGAGAAGAGGTACGTGGACGCGCAGCTGTCCTGCCAGGGCCGCGGGGGCACGCTGGGCATGCCCAAGGACGAGGCCGCCAACGGCCTGATGGCCGCCTACATCACGCAGGCCGGCCTGGCCCGCGTCTTCATCGGCATCAACGACCTGGAGAGGGAGGGCACGTTCGTGTACTCGGACCGCTCCCCCATGCAGACCTTCAACAAGTGGCGCAGCGGCGAGCCCAACAACGCCTACGACGAGGAGGACTGCGTGGAGATGGTGGCCTCGGGCGGCTGGAACGACGTGGCCTGCCACGTCACCATGCACTTCCTGTGCGAGTTCGACAAGGAGCACGTGTGAGCGGGCGGCCTCGGGGTGACCGGCCCCCCGCGCCCCGGGCCGCCCCTGCCACCTGCGCGGGCGGCCTCCCGCCGGGCCGCGTTCCTGGGCCGCCGACGGCGGCGGCGGGCGCTCGGGAGGAGAGACAGCGTTTCCGGGCGTGACTGCCGAAGAAGCCAGGTTTTGCCACTCGTCCGGTAGCCACATGCTCATTAGGGAGTTCTTAGTCAGAGTCGCGCTTGCCTTTGTCCAAACTATAGAATAAAAGCTTGAAATGTGGCTGGAGTCGAGTACAAACAATGGTAGCGGGGGCTTCAGGGACCATCTCCCTTTTAATTTCTGCGTGAGAAGAACCCACGTCACTTTGGCCAATGCTTCTGTAAATTACATTAAAACGCACGTTCCTCTTCACTGTTGTGTGAGTAGGGACATTTTGCTCGGGGCAGGCGCAGATCGCCCGGGCGTCTCGTGACGGCAACGTTAAGGATCTCACGGTTCCCGTGGATCTGGACTTCCTTTGGGCTCAGCCGGACCCCCTTCTGCACTAGTGACCACCAGTGGTGGTCGTGGCGGGGTCCGGCTCCGTGCCACGGGGGACTCTCCCCGGGGCAGCTCCCGGCATGGCGGCTGTGTGGGAGCCGAGAGCCACACCTGACCTGGGAGGTGGGGCGCCGTCCCGTCACAAAGGCTTTCTGTTCACGAGGGGTGACCCACCGGGTCCCGCGCACGCTCAGGGAGGGGACGACGTCACAGGGTCGGACACCGGGAGGCAAGTCCGGAAGCTGCCGCCACGTCACCTGTGGTTCTTTTCCTTTCTGTGCATCAGATTCCCCAGTAAACACCAAGCTTCTTCTTGTTCAAGGAATACAGCGCATAGGCACGTGCAAGAGCCTTCCAGCTGGGGTCGTGGGGGCAGGAAGGGACTGTTGGGGGCAGTTCTTCAAGGGCTGCTCATGTGGCTCATGTCTTGTGAGTGAGGCCCTGGCTGCCCCAGGTTCCGGACCATGTTTTTAAGGATGTGGTGCAGCTGACTGCCGTGGACGACAATAGTGTCTCTCCCCAGGTCGCCCCTCTGGACAAAAGGGCAGGTCTGCTTAGAGCCTCCGAGACCACGGGCAGGCGCAGTCACCGTCTGGCAGGGGAAGGTGATGACCCCCTCCAGGGGGAGAGGCGGCACACTTCCCGCCCACTCCAGAGGGCTTGGGTTCCTTGAGCTCGAGGGTCCTACCCTGGAACCCCATGCTGCACACACAGGTGTTCCCTGGTCCTCTTCACGTGCCCTGCGGATGCCCTGCCGGAGCCCCCACTGCCGCCCACGGGGGGCAGGAAGATGTGGGGCGGCCTGGCACTCCCCAAGCACCGCCCGGGGGTCCGCCCCTCACCACACAGATGCCTCCCTTGCGCCCAGGGGCCGATCTGGTCTGTGGGGGCCTGTGGCTGTGGCTGGGCAGCGCCCGGCAGGAGGGGCCTGGAGCCGAGGGTGCACAGCCTCACGGCCATCGCCTCTGCCCCAGCGACGTCTTCCCAGCGCCCCGCACAGAGCCCCTGCTCTTTCAGTCTGAGGTGGGACAGGCATGCACCTGCCTCCCCCTGGGCTCTTCTGGCTCGTGTGCAGTCCTGGGGGAGCCCTGGCCCCCTCGGGGTCTCCCTTCCCTCACTTGGAGGCGAGGGGGTGGAGGGCAACACCTCCGTGCTCTCATGTGGCCTCCAAGTCTGGAGACGTTGTGGGGAGCTCGGCCGGCCCAGCCCCTCCTGTCGCCTCCTGCACTCAGCTGTCCTCTGAGGAGACACACTGGCCTTTTGCTCACGCTCTTCTCCAGGACTAGAATCCTTTCAAAGCCAATCTGATAGGATATCGACCATTGGGCACAAAGGCCGACCATTGCCCCTAATTTAATTCCCGACTTCTCAAGAAGGGGCCTGTTGTGCAGACGGCAGAGTCTGATCCGCAGCGGGGAGGCGGCCTGGTTGAGGAGAGAGCTGGGATTCATGAGGTGCCGCACTGAGGCGTGACCAAGGAGCTGGTGCACTTGTTTTGTTCAGAGCCCTTGGTGGAGCGTGGGCGGAGACGGATGAGCGGAGCCCAGCCTGGGGCTGCCGGCTGTTAGGGGGGCGGGGTGGGGGGGGCCGGATCCGTGGGTCCACACTGCCATCCAGCGGCGGGAGGAGGACGTGTGTCTGCAGCAAGGAACGTGGGGAGTCGCCTCGACAGATGCTGGGGGGAGTTCTTTAGGATGGTGTGTGTGTGTGCGTGTGCGTTTGGGGGGAGGGGAGAGGAGGGGGAGCAGTTAGAGGCAGAGGGGGAGAGATGCTGCAGAACAAAGGGCAGCAGGCAGGCAGGGAGGGAAAGAAGGAGGGGCTCTGGCCCCCAGACCCAGGGGCGCCGTGCCCTTCAGAAAACCCTCAGCCATGTGATTCCTCCTCCTCAGCCCGAGCGCGTCCCCAGGGCGGTGGTGGCCATCTAGAGCGGATAAACAAAAGGCCAGTCAGGGGAAGGACTGGTGGTTCTGAGTGTCAGAGGAAGAGAAGCTCTAGGAAGGGGAAGGGATTAATCTCTGGTCCCAGCATCCCTGCACAAAGCTCGGTCCAGGCTGGGGACAGGGAAGAAGACACGGGGGTGTTTCCGCGGGGCAGACTCGGGCCCCTGACGGGTGTTGTGAGATGGCCCATCATTCTTCTCCCGGGGGCAGCATCGTGTCCTGTTCTGCCTCACTCAGACTTGAGCAGGCTCTCGCTGTCTGCCCATGCCAGCCGGCTACCCCTGGGGACTATTTGGGCAGTGTGCCCACCTTGCTTCCTTGGGGGACTGGGTGGCAGGCGAGGATCGAGGGACCGTCACCAGGCACTTTAATCCAGCAGATCCGAACCAAGGGTGGGAGGTGTTTCTTAGCCATAAGCAAGAAAATCCGAGTCTGGCTAATTTAAGCAGAAAGGGGATTTGTTGAAAGGTTTTTGGGAGTTCACGGGAATTTTGGAAAGACTGGAGAGCCATGGGGGGCCATGTGGAAGGGAACAGAACCCATAAATCATGCTGCAGATGGGCCCGCTGGGTCCCTCTGTGCCTGGCAGCTGCCGCGGCTCTTGCCATACAAGTTGGCTGTGGTCACTGGGTTGGTTCCTCACTGGCTCGCCTCCAGAGTCTAGAGGGGCGGCTCTGTTTGGGTACCTAGTGTTCTGGGGCCATTTTGTGCATCTGCACAGGTTGTGCACTGCACAAATCCAGAAGCACCATTTCATAGAACTACCACACATGGTGGTGGTGTGTGTCTGTGCCCGAGCTATGAGGGAGGCTGGGAAAGCACACAGTTTTCAGTGTCTCTGGTGGGAGGAATACGGCTTTCCAAGGATGAGCATATACCAAACGTACCGTATCGGTTAGTTTTTGCTGTGTACCCATTAACCGTGATTCTAGGGGTCAGCAACTTGGGCTGGGACCAGGTGGACGGTTCTTCTGGTCACGGCTGGGCTCACGTGTCTCCCGGCACCTGCTGGAGGGGCTGGGGTGGCTGGTCTGGGGCACCTCGGCTGTCAGGCTGTGATTCTCATCTTCAAGTGACCGGCCCGAGTGTGTTCGCAAGGTGGCAGTTCCAGAAAGGAAGAGTGGGCACACAATGGCTCCCGAGGCCTACGCATTGAGCAGGGACAACGTGGCTCTGCCCCTTCTACGGCTAAGTAAGTGCTAAAGTGAGTCCAGATTCAAGGGCCACGCGTGGTGTGAGGAGCACAGGGATGTGGAGGATTGTGGCCACGTTTGCAATCTGCCACCCACAGGAAAAAGGGCAGATGTGGCCGAAAATGAGTATAGAGGTCCATCCTGCCAGCACGGGGTTTGGCACGTGTAAACAGGAGGAAGGAGCCCCCAAGGGGACCACCAAGCTGCAGGCTGTGTCTGTTCCTTTATCTCTGTCCCTGAAGGTGCAGCAGGCCCTGCGAGCGGGGGTGGGGCCCGCCGCTCAAAAATCTCCTCGGGGCCTGGGAGGAGGTTGGGGCACAAGGTGGGTCGCAAAGGCAGAAGTTTCTAGCATCACCGTGGGGCTCACGTGCAACAGGCTGCTCCTGGCGATGCTGTCCTGGCAAGGCCGTCAGGCCATGCTGGGGGCGCTGAGCCCAGCCCCGGTGACCCCGAGGGCCCGCGCACCTGCTTTCATCCACTGACACCGACCGCACGGAGGCAGCACCCCGATGCGGGGCGAGCCCGTGTCTCCAGTCTCGCTGTCTCTGGGCCACCCTCATCCCCAACCTTTCTCGCCCTCGTCATTCCCCAGCAGGCTCCCTCGCCGGGATTGGCCATCCACTGCTGTGTAACAAACGACCCTACAATTCAGCAGCTCAGATGTTCTCCCGCAAAGCTTCTGGGGCTCAGGAACGGGGAGGGCAGCTGAGCTAGCTGGGGGGTTCTGGCCCCGGGCTCTTCTGGGGCTGCAGTCAAGGTGCCCGCGGCTGGCTCTCAACTCCAGCCTCCGGGTAAAGGGTCTGCTGTCGCCCCTCCCACGGCCCCGACAGGCTCCTCTGTGGCTCGGGGCTCCGGGACCACCACTCTGCTTGCTCTGGTTTTCCTCCTCCCTCCCCAGAGCACCTAGAAGCACGTGCACAATGGTGGAAGGGCTCTGTGTCCACGCCCAGCATGTGGCATCGAGCACGTGAAATTCAATGAGACAGAGGACGTAAATTTTAAATTTCATTTAACTTTTATTACATTAATTTAAATTTTATTTTCATTTATTATTATTTTTTTATTTATTTGAGGGAGAAAGAAAGAGAGAGTGCAAGAGAGAGCACAAGCAGGGGGATCAGCAGAGGGGGAGAGAGAGAAGCAGACTCCTTCGCTGAGCAGGGAGTCCGACATGGGGCTCGAACCCAGGACTTCGAGATCATGACCTGAGCTGAAGGCAGATACTTTACTGACTGGGCCATCCAGGCATCCCTTAACTTAAACTTTAGATACGATTTTAAGTAGCTAGTGGCTGGACAGTGTGGCTTGCAGAACCTTGTTCTCCAGGTGTGGTCCCGGACCTGCCACTCGGCATCACCTTGCTGCGTGTAGAGGTCCAGACTCCTGGCGCCTCTCAGATCTGCAGTCAGGACCCGCACGTTAGCAGGCTCTCCGGGGCTCGGATGCACATCACACTTGGGGAGCTGGGCTCCAGGTGCGGACAGGTGGCTCAGGCAGCCTTCGCTAGCCCCTGAGCATCCCTCTCGGCTGTTCTCCATGCCGGGGCCTAGACTTGGGTCATGGGTGAAGGGAACATCAGGACAGGGTCACAGGGTCACTTCTGTTAATTTAATAAGGCACCACCTGTTATGTACAAAGGCACAGATGTGGCTTGTGTTCTTAAGAATCCCTCTGGAAGGCTGGACGGACGTGTCAGCACAGACCTGAGGACGTGGAGCCAGCCAGAGGCCGGGGAGGTCCCTGGAGGTGGCCTGCTTCCCATCCGGTTTGGTTTCATCAGGGAGAGCTGGGGTGCAGGAGGGGAGAGGGGCAGGCCAAGGCTGGTGAAGAGACCAAGGACGATGACAGACTGTCA